AATTTCTCCATTCTCTTTCAAAGGGATGATGGCTATTTACTCAGATAACCCAATACTGGGGAAACCCCAGAAAAACCCTAGGAGATATTTCAAACTAATTAAAAACGAAAATACAACACATTGGAAGATGCAGCTGATGTCATGTATAGAGGGAATATTTTAGCTTTAAATGTTTACATTTGAAAATTAGAAAGGTTTTATTGGAATGGACATACTTGGAAGTTGGTAGCACTCTCCTGTTTCTTGGCCTATGGTTAAGAGCTGTCATGTGGGGGAAGCCTAAAAAAACTGTCCTACGTCTTGGCCAAGAGAGTAAATAAAAACACAATATTACAACCTAGAGTTGTTTCTGATATTAATGCCTTTCTCCAAACTTAAAAAAGGCAGAAATGGTCTTCATCAAATCCTCATTTAGTTCACCAGTCTTTTTTTTAATTAAATTTTTTTAACATTTACTTATTTTTGAGACAGCATGAATGGGGGAGGGGCAGAGAGAGAGGGAGACACAGAATCAGAAGCAGGCTCCAGGCTCTGAGCCATCAGCCCAGAGCCCGATGCGGGGCTCGAACTCACGGACTGCGAGATTGTAACCTGAGCTGAGGTCGGACGCTTAACCGACTGAGCCACCCAGGTGCCCCTAGTTCACCAGTCTTGACAATGAAATGGTTTCTGGCAGATGATCATGGACTACTGCAGATACAATCAAGTAGTAGCATCAGTTGTGGTGGCTTTGCCAGACATACTTCTTGCTAGAGCAGATTAACACAGCCTCAGAACTATGTATGCAGCCATCAATATGGTGAATGTCTTTTCATCCTTATCAAGAAAAGGATCAGAATCAGTTTTCACTCATGTGGACTAGATAACAGTATATATTTGTGATCTTGCCACAGGACTATGCTAACTCTCCTTCCATCTGTTCTAATACAGTATGAAGGGACTTAGACTATCTGGACACCATGCAGAACTTCACATCGGTTCCTTATGTTAATAAGTTTATTAGGCAGAATGGGAAATGGGTAGCAAGTACATGGGAAGGCACATGAATTCCAGGGGTGGAGATAAACCCTATTTGTTGACACTGGGAATGAAGTCAATATGCAAAGAGAAGCGTAGAAAAGCAGAACCAAAAGGAAGAATAAAGTAGAGGACGAGGAGGGCTGTGGAGGAAAGAAACGTGAGTATGCCTTGTCTACTCTTGGACTTTCTAATCGTGTGAGTCAGTGAGTCAGTTTGGTCTAGAGCTTGATTGAGTTGGAGTTTTCTCACCTGCAACCACTGATGCTCATGACCGTCTGAAGAAATTGATTTTCGTAGAATTAAAATGAAGACACATTCTGGTATTTTTTTCTTTAGGGCATATGTATCTTAGAGACTTTACAGCATTTTCAAATGATGTGGACCCATATTCCTTTCTCTCCGTTTCACCCTGTTATTGAGAAGAGAAAATGAAGCAATCTCCTTTATACAGATCTCATGCTTTCATTTTTATAGACTAGGAGAAATCTCAGTAGAAAACTGGCTCTGATACCTAATTGTTAGCAAAAATTATTTCAGAGCAATTATTCTAACAGTTTAGTAAGCATTACCCTATATATAAAAATTATGGCCTAAGCAATTGAGCAAATTAACTTATTGAATTACATAGGAGTATGCACAGTTTATTTTAGAGGGTTGATCAGCAAGACTTTTTTTTTTTTTTTTTTTAATTTCTTTGGTGGCAGGAGTAGAATTTAGTGATTCATCACAGGTAAAACCCAGTGTTCATCTCAAAAGTGCCCTCTTAATACCCATCACCCATTTAGCCCATGCCCCCACCCACCTCCCCTCCACCAACAGTCTCTTCTCTGTAGTTGAGTCTCTTATGGTTTACCTTCTTCTGTTTTTATCTTATTTTTCCTTCCCTTCCCCTGTGTTCATCTATGTTGTGTTTAAGTTACACATATGAATAGAAATCATATGGTATTTGTCTTTCTTTGACTTATTTCACTTAGCATTGATACTAGTTTCATCCATATTGCAAATTGCAAGATTTCATTCTTTTTGATCACTGAGTAATATTGCATTGTGTGTGTGTATTATATATAATATATATACATTATATACCATTTTTTCTGTATCCATTCATCAGTTGAGACGTGGGCTTTTTCCATACTTTGGCTATTGTTTACAGTACTGCTGTAAACATTGGGGTGCATGTTCCCTTTTGAATCAGCATTTTTGTATCCTTTGGATAAATACCTAGGAGTGCAATTGTTGGTCGTAGGGTAGGTTTATTTTTAATTTTTTGAGGAACCTCCATACTGTTTTCCAGAGTAGCTGCACCAGTTTGCTTTCCCACCACCAACAGTGCAAAAGGGTTCTCTTTTCTCTGCATCCTTGCCAACATCTGTTGTTGCTGAGTTGCTAATTTTAGCCATTGACAGATGTGAGGTGGTCTCTCATTGTGGTTTTGATTTGTATTTCCCTGATGATGAGTGGTATTGAGCATCTTTTCATGTGTCTGTTCGCCATCTGAATGTTGTCTTTGGAAAAGTGTGTATTAATGTCTTCTGCCCATATCTTCACTGGATCATTTGTTTTTTTAGGTGTTGAGTTTGATAAGTTCTTTATAGATTTTGGATACTAACCCTTTATCTGATACGTTGTTAGCAAATATCTTCTCCCATTCCATCCATTGCCTTGTAGTTTTGTTGATTGTTTCCTTTGCAGTACAGAAGCCTTTTATCTTGAAGAGGTTCCAGTAGTTCATCTTTGCTTTTGTTTCCCTTGCTTCTGGAGACACATCTAGTAAGAAGTTCCTGTGGCTGAGGTCAAAGAGGTTGCTGCCTGTTTTCTCCTGTAGGATTTTGGTGGTTTCCTGTCTCACAATTAGGTCTTTCATCCATTTTGAATTTCCTTTTCTGTATGGGGTAAGAAAGTGGTCCAATTTCATTCTTCTGTTTGCTGCTGTCCAGTTTTTCCAATGCCATTTTCTGAAGAGACTGTCTTTATTCCATTGGATATTCTTTCCTCCTTTGTCAAAGATTAGTTGGCCATACATTTGTGGGTCCATTTCTGGGTTCTCTATTCTGTTCCATTGGTCTATGTGTCTGTTTTTGTGCCACTTTGCTGTCTTGATGGTTAAAACTTTGTAATACAGCTTGAATTCTGGAATTGTGATACTTCCAGCTTTGGTTTTCTTTTTCAACATTACTTTGGCTCTTAGGGGTCTTTTATGGTTCCATACAAATTTTCGGATTGTTCTAGCCCTGTGAAGAATGCTGGTGTTATTTTGATTAGGGATGGCATTTAATGTGTAGATTGCTTTGGGTAGTATACACATTTTAATGATATTCTTCCAATCCATGAGATATTTTTCCATTCTTAAAGTTAGATGCATTATGAATACTTTATAGAAATTTATTTCTCTTTTGTTGAAAAGAGCACTTGGTAATACTTGCTTTAAACGTTTTCTGGGTTAATATTATTGTGGCTAATCTCTAAGGCAATAACCAGTTAGCAGTAACAGTGAGAAAAAGATTCTGTTCACAATAGTAATAAAAGGGAGAAAAAGTCTATGAATAACAATAAAATGAAATGTGGGAATCTCTATGGAGTAAATTATAAAACTCAACTGAGATATAATAGAATTGTGACAATGTAGATATAAAATGTTCTTGAAGGGAAGCAGGATTTATGTGAAAATGCCAATTCTTTCCAAATTTCAGTTTTAATGTAATAAAAATTCCAACAGGATATTTTTTCCTTGAAAATTGCCAAAATATCTTTCTAACATCATGTGGAAGAACATACATATGAGAACAGCACTAAAAAATGCTGGAAAAAAAATATAATGAGGCAGAAGCAACCTTCCCTGGATTCTACTGAATGTTAGCATCTCTTATAAAACTATAGCAATTAGATCTGCATGGTACTGGTAGATAAATGAATCAGTAGATAATTTAGAAAAATAACTTGATGCAAATAAGATTTAATGCCTGAAAAGGAGGCAAAACAAATCAATAATAAAGGGTAGGATTATTAATTACAAGTTTTCTGTTACTAAAAGATCATCTATTTTCTGATGGATTAAAACACTAAATGTCAACAAAACATGAAAATGATAGAAATATAGATGAATGTTATCTGATCCAGGGATGGGAAAGGATTTGTTAGCCTAGAGGCAATGAAAGAGAAGACTAATAGACTTGACTTCTCACATAAAAATGATCTTAAAAAGCCCACATTTTCTCTACTTAAAAATATAAAACAAAACAATACACAGTAAAAGGCATGCAACAGATCGGGAAAGCATTTTTAACAAAAAAACCTAAGGTAATATTATATTTGGCATACAGAGATATATCTTAAGACCAAAACTTATAAAAGGAGGAAAAGAAACTTTTCTAAGAAACATTAAAAAAAAAAAAAAAAAACCCTTTAGGGCACCTGGGTGGCTCAGTCGGTTAAGCATCTGACTTCAGCTCAGGTTACAATCTCACTGTCCGTGAGTTCGAGCCCCGCGTCAGACTCCGGGCTGATGGCTCAGAGCCTGGAGCCTGCTTCTGATTCTGTGTCTCCCTCTCTCTGCCCTTCCCCCGTTCATGCTCTGTCTCAAAAATAAATAAACCTTAAAAAAAAAATATTAAACCCTTTAGGGGCGCCTGGGTGGCGCAGTCGGTAAGCGTCCGACTTCAGCCAGGTCACGATCTTGCGGTCCGTGAGTTCGAGCCCCGCGTCGGGCTCTGAGCTGATGGCTCGGAGCCTGGAGCCTGTTTCCGATTCTGTGTCTCCCTCTCTCTCTGCCCCTCCCCCGTTCATGCTCTGTCTCTTTCTGTCCCAAAAATAAATAAACGTTGAAAAAAAATGTTTAAAAAAAACCCCTTTAATTTCAAAAAGCATGAAATTAGTACAGAAAGAATGAGGTACTGTTTTATGTGTACACAGTCAACTCTTGAACAACATGGGTTTGAACTGTGAGGGTCCACTTACATGTGGATTTTTTTTTGGATAAATACAGCACAGGTCTGTCAATGTATTTTTCTCATGATTTCCTTACCATTTTCTCTTCTTTCACTTTATTGTAAAACTATAGTATATAATATATACACAAAATAGGTGTTAATCAGTTATGTTATCAGTGTTATGGTCAACAGTAGGCTGTTAGTCATTACTTTTTTTTTTTTAATGTTTTTCTTACAGTGGGAGAGGGAGAGGGAAAGCTGGGGAGGGGCAGAGGGAGAGGGAGAGGGAAAGCTGGGGAGGGGCAGAGGGAGAGGGAGACACAGAATCCCGAAGCAGGCTCCAGGCTGAGCTTTCAGCACAGAGCCCAACGTGGGGCTCGAACTCACAAACCGTGAGATCATGACATAAGCTGAAGTTGAACGCTTACCCAACTGAGCCACCCAGGTGCCAGTGTCATTAACATTATTATTATTATTATTATTATTTTTTTTTTTTTTTTACAGAATAAAAAGTTATGCATAGATTTTTGACTGCATGGAGGGTTGGTACCCCTAACTCTGGCATTGTTCAACTCTAGTTATCAAACAGCAAATGTCTAATGCTTGAGCACACTTGCTCTGAGTATAAATTTGTAATTAACTTCCTATATTAGATTATATATATGGAAAGCCCCGAAACTACTAATATTGTGTGACTTGGCACCTCGAGTTCTCAGAATCTTTCCTAAGGAAATGATCCAAAGTGCAGAAGAATTATGTGCATCCAGTGAAACAATTTTAATATCCAATGAATGGGAAATAACTAAGGTAAATTGTTTTGCGTCCATATTGTGAGATGATTGGCCATTTAAATTATGCTTATAAAGAAGTTTTATTGCTTGTGTTACAATGAAATGTGAATAAATTAATATGCATATTTAAATACATTAGATAATTTCAGTGATACAATCATGGAAATGCACCAGAACTTTAGCTCTGGTAATCTTTTGATAGTTGGATTAGGAATGAATTACAAAAATTCTTCTTTCTGTATAGACCATGGGTACTTGATTGAAAAATAAGCTTTAAATAAAAATTTTTTTAAGCTATAAACTCATCAGGTATCTATAGCATGGGAATATCTGGAGCTTTCTGTTTGGAGGTCTGGGGTTCTATGACTCCATCGTAGATTTAAGGGGCTTTTTGTTTTAAACCCCAAAATACCAGCAATAAAAACCAATTTCTGGAGGCATGGTTGAAATGGAGAGGGTTTTAAGAATTGAAGTGGGGTGTGGAGGTGAGAAGAGATGGCCTGAGCTGAGGAAGTGGATGGGATAGAAGGAAGAGTGGTAAGTGCAAGCGGGTGCACCTGCCTTGTGCTGCCTCTCAGCACTTTGGAGATCAAGGATCCCAGGGAAAGCAGGCTGGCCTGAAAGGGAAGTTGATACATACGAGATCCATACAGTAAGGAAGGTATAGCTCTTGAGCTAAATTTTATGCTTGGTGAACAGAAAGTGGACTCAGAAATATTTTTAGGCTAGGGTTATCCCCAAGTTGATAGGAATGATGCTCACTAGTAATGGCACTCCTCTACTCTTTTCTTATAATCACTGCAAATCCTTGCATGGGCTTTAGAATGGGCCATGCTGAGGTAGGGTATACTCCTCCGGGGAGAAGACTGGTGGGCAATAGGGCAGTAGGGTGGGTATTTAACTTCATTGATGTGTGGAAAAGAGGTGTCCCTTAAGTTGGGAGGAAAGGTCTCATTGCAGATACACATTTCATTACTTAAAAATCACTTATTTCTGGGACACAAAATTATATAAAACACCAGATAACTTGTGAAAAGCAATAGATTCAACACATGTACATAACGGGATAATTCAAATAATAATATATGAAGGTGTGGAATAGAAACAAAATATCCCTTCCCATTTCATGCACCGTCTCTCTAAAGGTTACCACTTAGCCTTTTCTCCATCCTATCAGAAAAAATTTTATGCATATACTAGTATGTTTATGCATTTATTCAATAAGTATTCATTGAATGATTTCTCTGTACAGGCATCACTTTATTTTTATTGAGTATAGTTGACATGCAATGTTACGTTAGTTGCTGGTGTAAGACTTAGTAATTTGACAAGTTTATATATCCTATGTTCACCACAAGTATAGTTACTGTCTCATTACGTTGCTATTAAAATACCATTGACTGTTTTCCTTATGCTCTACTTTTTATTCTCATGACTTCTTCCATAACTGGGAAGACCGTATCTCCCTTTCCCCTTCACCCATTTTGCCCAAACTCTCAACTCCCTCCCCTCTGGCAACCATCAGTCTGTTCTCTGTAGTTCTGATTCTGCCTTTTTTTTTTTTTTTAATGTTTATTTATTTTTGAGACCGAGACCGAGCATGAACAGGGGAGGGTCAGAGAGTAGAGGGAGACACAGAATCCGAAGCAGGTTCCAGGCTCTGAGCCGTCAGCACAGAGCCTGACATGGGGCTTGAACTCCTGGACCGTGATATCTTGAGCTGAAGTCAGATGATTAACCGACTGAGCCACCCAGGTGCCCCTGCCTTTTGTTTGTTTATTCATTTTTTATATTCTGTTTGTGAGTAGAATCCTATGGTATTTGTTTTTCTCAGTCTGACTTACTTCACTTAGCATAACGTTCCCTAGGTCCATCAAAGTTGTCTCAAGTGGCACAATCATCCTTTTTTTATAGCTGTGTAATATTCCGTTGTTTATAAACCACAATTTCTTTACCCATTTGCCTATTTTTTTTTAAAAGTTTATTTATTTTGAGAGAGAGGGAGAGTGCGTGCACAAGCAGGGGAGGGCAGAGAGAGGAGAGAGAGAATCCAAAGAAATCTGTGCTCACAGTATGGAGCCTGATATGGGTCTGGAACTCCTAAATTGTGAGATCGTGACCTGAGCCTTAATCAAGACTAATGTTTAACTGACTGAGCCACCCAGGTGTCCTATCCATTTGTCTATTGATGAACATTTAAATTACTTCTGTGTTTTGGTTACTGTATATAATGCTGCTGCAATAAACATAAGGGTGAATGCACCTTTTTGAGTTAGTGTTTTAGTTTTCCCTGGGTAAATAACAAATAGTGGAATTATTGCATCTTATGGTATTTTTATTTTTAATTTTTTGAGGAACCTCCATACTGTTTTCCACAGTGGTTGTACCAATTAAACTCCCACCAACAGTGTACGGAAGTTTGTTTTCTTCATCTCCTTGTTAACATCGTTTCTCTTCTTCTTGATTTTAGCCATTCTAACAGGTGTAAGGTGATATCTCATTGTGGTTTTGATTTGCATTTCCCTGACGATTAGTGATGTTGAGCATCTTTTCATGTGTCTCTTATCCATCTGTATGTCTTTGGAAAAATGTCTACTTAGGTCTTCTGCCTGTTTTAAAATTGGATTTTTTTTTGGTGTTGAGTTATATGCTTTTTTTTTTTTTAAAGGTTTATTTTTAAGAGACAGTGCATGAGTTGGGGAGGTGCAGAGAGAGAGGGAGACAGAGGATCCGAAACGGGCTCAGTGCTGACAGCAGAGAGCCCAACGTGGGGCTCAAACTCACCAACTTTGAGATCGTGACCTGAGCCAAAGTCGGATGCTTAACTGACTAAGCCATTGAGGTGCCCTTGTATGATTTCTTCATATATTTTGGATATTAAACCCCTATTGGGTATATCATTTTCAAATATCTTCCATTCATCAGGTTGTCTTTTATTTTTTTGGGGTGGTTTACTTTGCTGTGCAAAAGCAGTTGATTTTGATGTAGTCCCAATAGTTTAGTTTTGCTTTTGTTTCCCTTGCCTTAGGAGTTGTATCTAGAAATATGTTGCTATGGCTGATGTAAGAGAAAACAGTGCCTATGTTATCTTTTAGGATTTTTAGGTTTCAGGTCTCACGTTTAGGTCTTTAATCCATTTTCAGTATGTGTGTGTATGGTGTTAGAAGGTAGTCCAGTTTCGTTTTTTCAGATGGATCCATCCAGTTTTCCCAGCACCATTTATTGAAAAGACCATCTTTTCCCCATTGTATATTCTTGCCTCCTTTGTCCTAGATTGACCATATAAATATGTGTTTATTTCTGAGGTCTTTATCCTGTTCTACTGAACTATGTGCCTATTTTTGAACCAGTACCATACTGTTCTGCTTCCTACAGCTTTGTAGTATATCTTGAAATCTGTAATTGTGATACCTCCATCTTTATTCTTTCTCAGGATTGTTTTGGCTATTCAGGGTCTTCTGTGGTTCCATACAAATTTTAGTAGTATTTATTCTAGTTTTGCAAAACATGCTGCTGCTATTTTGATAGGGATTGCATTGAATCTATAGGTAGCTTTGGGTAATATGGACATTTTGATCTTATTCTTCCAATGCATGAACACGGACTATCTTTCCATTTGTGTCCTCTTCAATTTCTTTCATCACTATTTTTTTTTGAACTTTATTTCAAGAGAGAAAGAGAGCATGAGTCGGGGAGGGGAAGGGAGAGAGGAAGACACAGAATCCGACGCCGTCTCCAGACTCTGAGCTGTCAGCACAGACCCCACCACAGCCCGATGTGGGGCTTGAAGTCACTAGCCATGAGATCATGACCTGAGCCGAAGTCAGACGCCCAACTGACTGAGGGTAGGTCTATTTTGAATTTTTTGAGGAACCTCCATACTTTTTCCAGAGTGGCTGAACCAGCTTGCATTCCCACCAACAGTGCAAAAGTTCCTCTCTTTCTCTGCATCCTCACCAACATCTGTTGTTTCCTGAGTTATTAATTTTAGCTATTCTGACAGGTGTGAGATTTGTATCTGCCTGATGATGAGTGATGTTGAGCATTTTTTCATGTGTCTGTTAGCCATCTGGATGTCTTCTTTGGAAAAGTGTCTATTCATATCTTCTGCCCATTTCTTCACTGTATTATTTGTTTTTCTGGGTGTTAATTTTGAGAAGTTCTTTATAGATTTTGGATACTAACTCTTTATCCAATGTCCTTTGCAAATATCTTCTCCTATTCTGTTAGTTGCATTGTAGTTTTGCTGATTGTTCCCCTCACTGTGCAGAAGCT